TTAGCTGATTGAATAATTACAGGAAGTATTGATTATTGAATTTCTGTCACCTTGGAAATTAGTCTCTAATAGTGACCTACTGGATTCTTTATTTGTCCCAACATTTGTCTCAGTGACATGAAAGCAGACATAAAAAAGCAGGATTACCAAATTTCATATGACAAAATCTAAGAAAAAAGCTAACATGATAGATTAACGGAATACAGATTCAAATTAACCTTAATAGGCTACATCTGACTTTAGTCATAAGGCTGAGAAGCTAAATGGGCTTAATGAAGAAGATGACATTATACAGCCAAATAAGAGTTTCTGTTTCTAAAATAAAAAATCAGTTGCCCACATAGACACCATATCTGTAGCCTTAAAGAGCTGATTTGATGATATTGCCTAAGTATGGCTAATCAGATTGTGTTCTTAAACTGCCACTGAAGGAGTCTGTGGCTGAGACCTCCCTAAATTAGCCCTAAACTGGCGGTAGAGTTACAAAGAGCACAAAAAACTTCCATTATAGGCGCTGTAGAGAGAAACAATTTTGTTACAAGGATTTCCACTTTTACTTACTTTTCCTGGTTAATGTGCCAGGGAAGTTAGTTTGAAACATAATAACATTGGTGTCAAATCCATCCATAAGGTAAAATGTAACAATGAGAAACCTTACTCTGAAACATATTGTTGCTGGCATCCTGTTCATATCTAATATGCACACATATAGAAATATTTCCCATTGCTCAAATACTCTCCTCACATTCGTTAGTTGGGAGTAAAGTTTATGGTCTCAGTCTATGTTACAATGTGTGAACATTGTGGAAGCCCTGGAGTACTTTGACTCCAAAAATGTTGAGGACAGCAAGGAGGATTAGGATTGAAAATGGTGGACCATTTGACTTATATTGTTTGCTGGCAAAACCATCAAGCCACTATTTCGGTTGCTGCAAAGAGACTCTCTCCCAGCATGCTCATCTCCCCCACCCCAACTTCAGCCTGCTTTCAATTCTCATCCTCCGTATCCTCCTTTGTAAAATTCTTTGCGTGTCATTCTCCTTATCCCTTACGTATAGACCTTACTGGACTAAACAGCTGAAGTCAGGAAACAAAATACTAACAATTATAACAATTTCTCCAGTATACAATGAAAAGACCCACTCCAGGGTAACTAATGTTGCAGTTTAACTGCCATAAATATACTATAAGTGATTATATGTCAATAAAACTAATGCAGTTGGGCCTCATTAGTACAGCCTTATGGATATTTCATTGTATTATATAAGTATCAGACCAAATAGTAGAAGGGAATTAATAACCCTAAGGAAGATAATCTCAACATAAGGAATCAGGAATGAAGACAAAAAAGTAACAACAAGCAACAAAATGGGTTTTCAGTCTTAAGAAGAGAATATTTAAGGAAAAGTGGATAGCTACTTACAAAAATGTAAAGGTTGGCGCCGGCCCTGTGACCTAGTGGCTAGCATTTGGTGTGCTCTGTGTTGGTGACCCAGATTCAGTTCCTACTCACCTACCCCACTCATTGGCAGCCATGCTGTGGCAGTGATCCACATACAAAACAGAGGAAGACTGGCATAGATGTTAGCTCAGGGTGAATCTTCCTCAAGCAAAAAGAGGAAGACTGACAACACATGCTGGCTCAGGGCAAACCTTCCTCGAAAAAAAAAAAAAAAGTAAAGCTTTATTGAATTAACGTAAGAAATATATTCTCTTTTGGAACAAAGAATAGAATCAGGAAACAACAAAGAATATCTTGTGAATATAGGTTTTGCTTAATAAAAGAGCTTCCTAACAGTTTGGCTTATCTAGCAATGAACTACTTTAAACTATTAGCAGTTTGTGAGAGTTAGAGTTCCAATAACGATAAGATAGCTTGTATTGGAATAACTTGCCCATAGATAAAAATAATGAATATAAAAACAACTATTTGAAGACATTGGAGAGCAGTCAAAACCAGACAGAAACTGTAGGGGCCTTGACCAGTAAAAGAAGGCAATTATGATAACTGAGAACCATGTTTATACAGCCTTTCCTGTGGGCATTCCCTAGTCCTCAGGTGCAGGGCAGATAGAACTCAAGCAGAATGCTTCAGTCTTATTGACTCATGAGGTCAGTGAAGAGATTTCAGGCTGCTAGGGATGCTATGCATGGAGGACAATCTCAGAAAGTAGAGTGACACAGAGAGAAGACATTAACACCTGCCTATAAACAGCCTTCAAATCCTTGATTAGTGTTTAACTATATATGTATTAGGGAGACAATGATGCCAACAGAAAGTAGTAGCTGAAAGGACTGAAAGAGATTTCAGTTGCTATGCACTGCAAGGAAACAGAGTTTGGAATTCAAGTATTGCCACAGATAGAGAGGCTTGGCAAAAACCTTCGGGCATTTGACAGATAGGCCTTAACAAAGTATAAAACAAAGACTCCAGGAGTTAAAGATGATCAGCCTTAAACTGCTTGCCAGAGAATAATTAATCCCTTCAGAGGAAGAAGACAGGAATCAGAATCTCGACAATATATTATCCACAATGTCCTGCACACAATAAAAAATTAACATACAACCTAAGAAACAGTAAATTGCGACTTGTTAAAAAAAAGAAGCCTATAGAAACAGATACCAAAGTGAAACAAATACTGGAATAGAGTAGTAAAAGAGGTATTATAAGCATGTTAAAAATTTAAAGAAAATGATGGCCACAATGAATGAACAGATGTAGAATCTCAGCAGAGACACAGAGGCTGCAAAAAAGAACCAAATAGAAATACTAGAACTTAAAAGTGTAATATCTATAATGGGCTTAATAGCAGATTGAAATAAAGTCAGTAAATTTTGAAGAGCAATCCACAGAAATTATTCAATTTAAAGAGAAAAAAATTGGAAAAAAGGAAATAAAATCTTGGTCACCTGTGAGGCAACCTTAAGTGGTCTATCATACATTCAATTGAATTCACAGAAGAAAAGGAGAGAGAATGGGTTAGGGAGGTAATTTAAAGAGACAATGGTTGAAAGTTTCCCAAATTTGGTGAAAAATATCAACCTATATACCTATGATGCTCACAGAACTCCAAGTAGGATAAATAGAGCAAAACCACACATCATAGACTAACTGGAGAGAGCCAAAGCAAAAAAAGTTCATCTTAAAGCCAGTAATACAATTCCATCAGAAATGGAAGTCACACTGTTGGGGAAGAAAAGAAAAACCTGTCCACCCAGAATTCTATATCTAGTGAAGATTCACTTGTAAAAAGCATGCAAAATAAAAGCAGTTCTGATATAAAAAAAAAAAGAGAGAATATTTCTCTACCTGTTCTGCACTGCAAGAAATATTAAAGGAAATTCTCCAGCCTGAAGGGAAGTAACAACAGATAAAACTCATATCTATAAGAAAAAAATGAAGAGCACATGAAATAGTGTATATAAGGGTAACTATAAAAGCTATCTTTTTTCTTCTCTTAATATCTGCAAAAGACACCTGACTGTTTTAGCAAAACAAAACATTTTATTATATAGTTTATAATTTGTGTGCATGTAAAACATGATAGCAGTGGCACATAGGATTCAGGAACTAAAAAGTGCTGTTGCAAATTTCTTAATTATACACGAAGACGTACGATATTAACTCTAAGCAGACTCTGGTAACGTAAGAACCACCAGTAAAAAGAAATTAACACAAAGAGATGTAGCTAAGGAGTGACAGAGCAACTAAAATAGGATTAGTATAAAATATAGTGAATTTATCACCCCCTAAAGTATTCAAGTTGAAACGTCATCAGAACAGGAATTTCAGAAAGATATGGGTTTGAATCATCCTTCTTTTCCTCAAAACTTGTGATTTGGGGCATATGACATACTTTCCATTATTTGTTTATTCACTCAAAGCAGTATGTTTCACCAAACATGTTTTGTTCTTGAATTTTTTGCCCTCTTTCATGTGGCCATTGGGGTGTCTACATTCATAAGCTATAATTTCTTAATGACTCTCATGAATTTAAAACAAAGCTAATACATAGTATTATATTTTGCTGTAGTTTTGGCACTAGTTTCTTTGTTTTATGCTTTCAACACAAGACTATTTCTGTATTTGAGTAATGTCCTGTACAATTACGACTGAGAAATACAATAGGAGCTTTAAAATCTATTCTCCCATGCATACTAACAAATAACATCTACAAAGGAAAACGGAAAATTCCAGACCACTCCCATATGCCTTCTCTATCCAAACTTCTCTCATAGTGGAGCACTGCCAAGTACCCTTCAAGCTTAATCTAATTTATTTCTGTCCAGTAAATTTGATTCTTTATAAGGTCAGGAACATTGAGATTCTCCCAGTTCAGGTCAGTGAATTGTGCTCCTCCCCATAGACCACGGAGGAGAACCCCATTAGTTTAAAAAGAAGCATTTGTGCCTAACAATGCCCACTCACAAATGGCATTTTTCTCCGTGTCAGAAAACACAGGCGACCCTGCCCCCTTTCCCCTCTTTCCTGGCGTCCCTCCCTCCCACATCAAATTGGTCTGCTCCAATGCATGGAAAAGAAAACAGAAACGCCTGGGCGGCGAGCCTGAGCGTTTCCAGCCGGCGCTGCACGGCCAAGGCCAACTGTCTAAGCCCAGGGTCTGCGGGCGGGAGAGGATGCAAGTCAACAGGGCCCTTGCGGAAGAGGGCTCTCCTCGGCTCCCTTCCCTGCTCAGATCTCTCAGCAAAGCCCTCCCTCACAGACTCCAGGACCGGCCTTGCTCTGCTGAGAGGCCGCCGTCGACCTGCCCTCATCTTCTCCTGCACATCACTTATGGTTTTCTTCACTTCCCGCGCCCCTTCGTTTATTGAGAAGCTGACTCCAGCGGAGTCCCCCTCCCGGGCCCCCTGGCGGCTGCTCCGAGGCCCGGGGGCGTGCCGGGGGCGTGTCCGGGGTGCAGGGGCCACGCCCCCAGCCGCACACCGCCCCCGCCCCTCGGGGCTCCAGTTTGTTTTTAATTTGAAAAATCCTCCTCTTCCTTTCCCCGCCCCCTCCCCACTCTCTCGCCCGCGGATGAAATTCGGCCCCAGGCCTGGCGTCGCGGGCCCCGGGAGGACGGCGGCCGGGCGGAGAGCGGGGCCCCGGGGGCGGTGTCCTGGCCCGCAGCCCGGCTGCGCGCCGCATCCTCAGGTGGTTGCCGCAGTTGCGGGGGCCGCGGCGGGCCCGCAGCGAGCTGTCTGCAGCCCGGGGCTGGGGGTCGGGCCCCGGGTCTTCACGTGGGCGGCAGGGGCCGGGATGGAGGCTGTGGGGGGGGGACACGGCTCCCCACGAGCAGCGTCGTGCCGGGGCGAGCTGGCTGCCTCCGGGTCGCCCGGTCCCGTCTCCGGCGTCCCCCGCGGGAAGAGGGCGCGCTGTGCGGGCCGAGGGCGACCCCGCACGTCTCTGTCCCGCAGGCAGGTCCCGGGTGACCGGCTCCTCTGCGTCTCTCGCCGGCGTCGCCGCGCGCCGCTGCCCCGGACTCGGGCCAGGCCGACTCGCAGGTAAAGGGCTTTCCGATCACTTCTCTGCTGCTTGGCGGGCGGAGGGGCGGGGCTTCCGCGAGAGACCCCGGTCTCACTGGAGCAATTCTGGCCGACGGGAGAGAATTTGTTTCGGGATCTCCTTGCATTGTTTCTGTAAAATAAAACGTTTATATTTCAAAGCTTAGATTTTTTCCCTTCATTTATTTTCTGGTCTTGTTTATCTTCTCTTAGGATCCGCGATTTGAGTTTGTAGTTTTATGTTGCATATTTAAAATGTAGCCGCCAGTTGGAGATATGCGCTAAGGTCGATTTCCCACCTACTTAAAAGGATATACATTCAAAATTTTAAATTGGGTGTCAGTACATTAGGAATAGAAAGATAACCTCCATCTATCTGTCTCACTATTGTGGTTAATCTTGAAACACTAGCATTACCTCCATTAAATTTGGAAAAGTCAAGAATGCTCATCATCGCTCTGCCATTGTTGTGAACTGTATAGGCTAGTGACATTTGGCAGGAGTGCACCTTAACATTCTGCCTAGACAAAAAGGCACAAACATCACTTTTGCACATTATGTGATTGTACACCTTGAATGTCTGCAGGAAACAACTGAAAATCTCGTAATAGAATTCTGTAAAATGTCCAGTTGCATCTAACCCTAATTTACAGATATCAGTAGATATATACATAAAGTAGGAAATACAATGGACCAAAATAAACCAATTTGGAGTGAAATAACACAAAATTGAAAAACATTTAAAAAATACGTATGAAACTCCAGGGATACATGAAAATAAATATATATATATAAGAATGTATAGGTAAAATAACAAAAAAGACTACATAACAGTTTTCTAGATAACAATATCATTTCTCTAAAAGAAGATTTAAATTGGATAGATTCCTAACTGATTTTTTTTTTGTTTTTAAAGCAACTGTTTAGCTCATGGAAAAACAAACACTTGCCAGGAATATTTCAATTAAAAGAAAAATGTGCATATATATGGGGCCTTCATTACATAAGAAACGGTATTATAAAGCTATAGTGATTAAAAGGCAATTAAGTAGGGAATAGACCTACTGCCAGATAAATCAGTGAAACTGAAGAGACAGATTTAAGAGTGAAAGGAAAGCTGACATTTGATAAGCATACATTTTAAATCAGGGGGTGGGGAAGAAATAACATTTAATTGATCATGTTTGAACAATCGGGTATTTATTTGGGGAAAGTAATAATAAAACTGGAACTTTCCCTCGCTCTTAACACACAAGTGTAACCTAGATGACATGCTAATTTAAGTCTAAATGTGTGAAACCTAAAAGTAAAAGAAGAAAACCTGAATGAATATTTGTGAGCATGGCGTGTGGGGAAAGCATTTTTGAGATTGAGAGAAAAACCAAGAGCCCATTTAAGTATGTGATTCTTATTAACGTTTCCATGCAAAAAACAGTTTCAAACAGGGAAATTATAACAGAAAAAGAGCTGATTTTACTAATATGCCTAGAACTCTCATTAATGACTTAAAATCATTCCAATTTGAGGATAAAAAGTCACATCAAAGCAAAAGAAATGCAAATGATAAGCAGTATACTTAGCCACACTAATTATCAGAAAAATTCGATTAAAATAAAAAAAGTTTTTGCCCGTTTTACTGATTTTGAAAGTCTGATAATACTCAGTATTGTTGATAACATGATGAGAGAACAAACTCTTATTGGAAATGTATTGGTAAAACTTTCTTATGGTAATAGCTATTAAATTTTTCAAATATTCATCCACTTAGTGGAATTTATCATGCTCCTAAGTGTACAAATAAAAATGTGTCCCAGATGGTCACAGTAGGATTGTTTGTAATATAGAAAACAAACAATTCTACAACCATTGATCGGGATTTGGTTGCACAATTTATGGTACATCTGAAAGTGAAATAACATGTAGTTTACGAATTTTGATAGCTCTAAATATCCTGACTTGGAAATATGTTCAAGGTATATTATAAGTTGAAATGCAAAAAACAAGTTGAAACACAGTATATATGTTATATATATTTATATGTAATATATAGTGTATGCAAATAATGTAGAATATAGACTGAATTATGTATATTCATGTTCTGTGATATAGTTCTATAATGTGTGATGTTTATGAGGAAAAGTGACATTATAATAGGAAAAATAATAAAATAATAAATAATAAAGATCCTGAGAATGTAATTAGTAATTTATGCAGAATAATTCCTTTCTAGATATATTGTCATTCACTGTAGAAAAAATGTTTTCTTTTACAAAGCTTTCCATATTGTTCTTTTCATTTACTTTCTCTTAGAATATCGTCTTTCAGCTTCTTCCTTTGAAAATCCCTTCCTTTATCTCTTTCCTTAGTCTCGATTGCTATGATGCTTCTTGTAGGCGCACAATGGGAGAATTTTGACTGTTAACTTTTCACAACCTGTTACCTTTTTGGTAAACAGCAAATGCAGGAACGGTCATACTCTATATTTCAGCAGCATTGTACTAAAATTCACCTTTATAGTACTCATCTTTCTGGATGAGAGAGATGCAGTAAAAATAAATGACAAATTTGGAAAAAAAATCTTAAATTCTAGTACTATTCATATGAACAACACAAGAAGAAAATAAACTAGCAAACAGAAAAATGCACAAATGACAGACAGTTCACAAAAATGGTGATGCAAATGACTTTTAAACATAATAAAAACTACTCAACTTCCTCATTATATGATATGGAAAATAAAACTAAACTGTATTTACCTTTCAGATTGGCAATGCCAAAAATTTTCATAAAACATCATATTAGGAATATAACACATTTTTGTCTGGTATGTGAATTGATTCAAATTCTTTGGAGTACAGATTAACAACATATGTCACAATAAAAATCCACAATACTTTGACCCAGTTCTGCTTCCAGGAATTTAATACACAGGTACATAAAGAAGTATGTGTGAGTTTATTTCAGCATTGTTTGTCATAGCATACGTTGAGGAACAATTTAAATTTTCATCAAGTGGCCAGTTAAATTGTGGTGCAGCCATTGAAAAGAATAAGGTTCTATGAACTGAAATGTAATCACCATCAAGATATTTTAATAAATGAAAAAACAAGATCCAGAAAGGTGTATAAAAGATTTCCATTTGTATTAAAATGCATATATTTTAGTTTGTGTATGCTTAGAAAATCTCTTGGAAGACGCAAAAAGTCTAGTCTCTGTGGTTGCCTTTGGAGATGGGAAACGGGGAGCTAGTAGGAGGAATTCTTACTACTCAAGGTATAAATATATGTGCTGCTTGACTACTTGATTTATTCCAGTGATTGTTTGCAGATAACATTTAATTTAAAATATCTGTTTTTATAAATGTATGGTTTCTTATGAAAATGATTTAATTGTAGGTCATGTGACATCCAGTTATAATTTTTAATATTAGAAAACTAGCCAGAAAATGGCACAATAAGACATTATCTGGTAATCTTCCAGGTATGATAATTGATATAGTAATGTTTCCTTCAGTGTATTATATAAGCATTGTTATAACAGTTTTCTTTTGATATTTTTTTGAGTATATACATTTTTTTAAAGATTGGCACCTGAGCTAACATCTGTTGCCAATCTTCTTTTTTTTCTTCTTCTTTTCCCCAAAGCCCCCCAGTATATAGTTGTATATTCTAGTTGTGGGTCCTTCTAGTTCTGCTGTGTGGGACGCCACCTCAGCGTGGCCTGATAAGTGGTGCCATGTCTGTGCCCAGGATCCCAATCAGCGAACCCCCGGGCCACCGAAGCAGAGTGGGTGAACTTGACCACTTGGCCACAGGGCCCGCCCCTTCTTCTGATATTTTTTGTACTCCAGGTGACAAAAATATTTCCCCCTTGAAAACTATAATGGGGAGACCTGATATTCTCTTGAAACAATTTAAACTAATTTAGTCTGTTTAATAAAAGTTATCTATGAACTGTAGCTGTCAGTTTGCTCCCATTTAATCTCATTCTCATTTTAAAATAAAGCCAAATAACCAACCTCCAGGATCTTAACATTCGCTAAAAAGAAGGAAATAGCCTACCATAAGCCTTTTGTTTGGAAGGAATGATGGTGTGACTAAAGTAAGAAATACGTTTATACGGATTATAAAAATATAGCAATATAAATTGATCAGATTTTGCCAGCATTTTCATTTGTTCATGGTGAAAATTAATCAGAGTTTCTCTCAAGTTTCTTGTAGGATTGATTTCATGCAAAGATATAATTAAATAAATGTATATTCCACGTCGAGTTCTAATGAAAGAGTCTGCGTTTCTCTGGGACATTTCTACTACGTGTCTCATCCCCAAGTAACAGACCTACGTTTATCCTGTTAGCGCAAGCCTCTGTGATTGGTTTTTGAGTAGGATAGTTTCTTAATTCCAGCCCATGTGATGGCAATTTGTGAAGTTGCCGAGATGTGGAACGGGAATGACTGAATCCTTCACAATCATTGGGCTTTCATTCATTCATCCTGACCCCCCTCAATTATCCATTTCCCTAGTAACCAAGAAACCCATAAAACAAATCGACACCATATACCACGGGAGCCAAGATTTTGGCTAAAGTCTATAAAGAGAAGGGTGTGTAAAACCCTTCATCTCTGGTGAACCCGAGGTCTTCTTAGTTGTAGATTCACAAGAGGGTAGCTTGTTAGTTCTATTTTTTGTATTCCTTTTTTTCTATTCAGATTATAAAATCTATTTTACATTTTTCTAGAAAATTTAAAGAGGAAATGTTTTTATGTGTTAGCATATTCTCTCTAGGTTTTAAATACTTTTTAAAAACAACACTACATTATAATTATGCAAGTTATTATAAGCATTTTAGTGATTTTTACAGAGCTATCTGTGACCTTATTTTGTAAATGAATATGATTTTATGATGTTTCACTAAAACATCCTTTTTTAACTGTGGTGCTAGTTATTTGTGTAGTTTACAATTGCTATGGTTTACATCCTATATTCCTTCTATGAAAATG